TAAATGATTTATAAAGATGACCACACATCGCGTGGACTATTTAAGGAGAGGCATCAGCTCGGTGGTCAGTAGACGGCGTACTTCCACTGTAACATCCAGCCTCACTGAAGCCCTGATCATGATGAATGCGTTCCGACTTATTTCTCTCTGCAGTTTGGCAGTTTTAGTATCACCATGTCTGGGATTTTTCGATATGTATGATTTTTACGATGCATTCCAAGGTAGGCGATATAAGTGTTGGTGTCGTAATACTTACATGATTTTATAATGATTTACATAGTTTTATCTGGGATTTAACATCGATTTAGCAATCGTGTTGAAATGCCAGAATGTCAACAAAATGACAAAAGAAATGTTTATCTTATCTGCAATTGTGTACTGACGAAACTTCAGAACCATAAAAATATCAATAGTATAAACTGTTGGCTCTGTATAACAGCCTTTGACGTCATTAGGCCTCTACCTTTACTGGTAATGTCTGTACTGATTTGCCTTAACTCCTGAAGTGTTTGAAAATCACTTGAACATGGTATAATTTCTTAAACATATATACAACAACATGGTCGATGTGAGTTTCCTGCAGCTTTTATCGTTCTGTATGAATGTTTCAATCGCGCCTTAGGTTGAAATGTCAATTTGAAGTTATCTTTTGTGAAATAGTTGTTTATCTGTGTATAATTTGTCCAATGCATATGTGGTTCGATTCCCCGTTCGGGCTTGTAAAGATATATGGTCACGTGCCCGCCCATGTGGAATTTATCCGGGTACTCCGGTGTCCTCCCAAAGTAAAACCCCCGCGCGCTAACATCCGGGCCACTACGAGTGATCAGTATAAGACGTAAGACATGTTTTATTATGGTAGCAAAATAAATAAAGTTCATATTTAATTTAAAAATCAAATAAAAACTCACCTCGAAATAATACGAAAGTCGAACACAACAGAAACTGTTATTTATCATGTTTATCTAACTTAATATTGAAATTGTGAAAGAACACGAGCTTTATAAGTTATCACAAGGAGGAAACAGGGCGCGTCATTGGTGCGTCATACAGTCATGTCATTTTTGCATGTTATATAATAAGGGATGCTATCTTATATTGAAATATTATATGGTGTTGCTATTACATTAGTTATAACCAAATTAGAACTGGTACAACGCTCCCTTTGTAGAAGCAAAATCTGTTCCTATCAAAATATTGGCACATTTCTTATAGAAGCTATCGAATCAAACTGTAACATAGTCATCCTGTGGTAAAGCGGCTTCTGTGTGAAATAAACGACACTTCCCAAAATAAAAAATGCAACTTCACTTTATTTAACAATAATTTAATCTTGCTTGTAACAAGCATTTTCATTGGCTTAATTTTTTATGTTATCAGCCCATAACATAAAAAATGACGTCGCCGTTTGTAACGACGCTTTTGATTGGCTGATACAGCAGCGCAATAATTTCTAAGAGAAAAGAGTCTATCAATAAAAGTGGATTTCCACAGGAAAAGTGTATAGTAGATTAAATTATAAGGATTAACATGAATATATTTTTCATGTTATGGAACTATAACACAAAAAAACGGAGTGTACTCTCATCATAAACCGTTTCGCGGTTTATTTAGAGTACACTCCGTTTTTTTGTGTTATATCTCCATAACATGAAAAATATATTCAAGTTAATCCTTAATTACTTAAATTGATAACCTGTTATATTTCATAATTGTTTCACTTTCTCATAGCAAGAAAAACAAAATGTTGATATAATGACCCACCGATTCATTTTTCGAAGGTTCCTTCCATCCGGTCTCCTTTTTTTCAAGTCAGAGTTGGACAGTCGGTCTTAAAAGGATGCGATACGTGTTATTCGTTCTTTGTGTATAATGTAAAACTTTGTAATTACTTCATTTTCTTTTTTCTAAACAATCTTTTTATATGTCTCCCTTCATCGATATATCGTTTATTACACCAAACTTTGGTGAACAGCGACGTTTGTTTGTGGTAGTATAACGAGAGTTTGTGTACTGTGTTCAAGAAAAACAAGAAAGTGATAAAATTTTATTTTGTTTCGTGATATAAACAGTATATTTTTGAACACGGTAACATCAATGAACCCGGTAACATCAGTGAACCGGTAACATCAGTGAACCGGTAACATCGGGGAACCCGGTAACATCAGTGAACCCGGTAACATCAGTGAACTGGTAACATCAGTGAACCGGTAACATCAGTGAGCCCGGTAACATCAGTGAACCCGGTAACATCATTGACCCTGGTAACATCAGTGAACCGGTAACATCAGTGAACCCGGTAACATCATAGAACCCGGTAACATCATTGAACCCGGTAACATCAGTGAACCGGTAACATCAGTGAACCCGGTAACATCATTGAACCTGGTAACATCAGTGAACCGGTAACATCAGTGAACCGGTAACATCGGTGAACCCGGTAACATCAGTGAACCCGGTAACATCATTGCACCCGGTAACATCAGTGAACCCGGTAACATCTTTGCACCCGGTAACATCAGTGAACCCGGTAACATAATTGAACCCGGTAACATCATTTAACCCGGTAACATCAGGGAACCGGTAACATCAGTGAACCCGGTAACATCATAGAACCCGGTAACATCATTGAACCCGGTAACATCAGCGAACCGGGAACATCAGTGAACCGGGAACATAAGTGAACCCGATAACATCAGTGAACCGGTAACATCCGTAAACCCGGTAACATCAGTGAACCGGTAACACCAGTGAACCCGGTAACATCAGGGACCCGGTAACATCATTGCACCCGGTAACATCAGTGAACCCGGTAACACCAGTGAACCGGTAACATCATTGCACCCGGTAACATCAGTGAACCCGGTAACATCATTGAACATGGTAACATCAGTGAACCGGTAACATCAGCGAACCCGGTAACATCAGTGAACCGGTAACATTAGTGAACCGATACCATTAGTGAGCCGGTAACATTAGTGAACCCGGTAACATCATTGAACCTGGTAACATCAGTCAACCGGTAACATCAGTGAACCCGGTAACATAATTGAACCCGGTAACATCAGTGAACCGGTAACACCAGTGAACCCGGTAACATCAGGGACCCGGTAACATCATTGCACCCGGTAACATCAGTGAACCCGGTAACATCAGGGAACTCGTTAACATCAGTGAACCGGTAACATCATTGAACCCGGTAACATTAGTGAACCGATACCAATAGTGAACCCGGTAACATCAGTGAACCCGGTAACACCAGTGAACCGGTAACATCATTGCACCCGGTAACATCAGTGAACCCGGTAACATCAGTGAACCGGTAACATAAGTGAACCCGATAACATCAGTGAACCGGTAACATCCGTGAACCCGGTAACATCAGTGAACCGGTAACATCCGTGAACCCGGTAACATCATTGAACCCGGTAACATCAGCGAACCGGTAACATCAGTGAACCGGTAACATAAGTGAACCCGATAACATCAGTGAACCGGTAACATCATTGAACCCGGTAACATCAGTGAACTCGGTAACATCAGTGAACCGGTAACATCAGTGAACCCGGTAACATTAGTGAACCGATACCATTAGTGAACCGGTAACATCAGTGAACCCGGTAACATCATTGAACCTGGTAACATCAGTGAACCGGTAACATCAGTGAACCGATAACATTAGTGAACCGGTAACATCAGTGAACCCGGTAACATCAGTGAACCCGGTAACATCAGTGAACCGGTAACATCAGTGAAAACAACCTGTATATGCTATAGATAATAACACGATTTGTCTTTAGAGGTAGCGCTAAGCAATGTCTTCTAAGGTAACCAAAGTAATAGTGTTCCACAGCGGGTGACTATTATTCAGCACTTATGTCTGTGACATTGATATATTTCTTCTGACAAGATACATATATATAAAATCAATCAACAGACTAAAAGGTCGCTCGTGATAGACATTGATATGTTGTCGCGTGAAAAAGGAATGCTAGTGGTTCCCATCCCAATTTGTCATGTTGTACAAATTTTGTCATTAAATCGAGCTAAAATAGAACCCTACTTTAAACAAATGCTGAAGCTTCCAGCTATGATATTTAAAGAAATACTACAAAACAGGTAGCAGTTATAGACATTTGTACGTTTAGCATAGCCACAAATATTAAATCATACGACTCAAATACTGAAGAAACCATCGAAGGTAATGTAAAACCGTCTATTGTTAATGTAGATGTGATTTACTCTATTGTCGTGCAAATTTGATAAACTTAGTAATTGACATTTAAATCCGAGAAACCAATAAAGGCCGTGCTATTTCGGATAAATCATTAAAGATCAAGAAAATTGTAAACTATAATGGGCCTTGCAAATTTGATAATGCAAATTTCCTAAACCATTTAATGTCGTATAAAGATTGGAATGGTCTCCAAACTGACGTTAATTTCATGTTATATCATGACGGCATAAACACAAGCTATGAATATGTAAAATAAAACTTATCGCTGGTAGCCACAGGAAGTCCTAATTGGCACCGTCCTTTTCAGACCACGTAACTAGGAATACGCTAACATATTTTGAGCAATGCTGGGATCTGCAACAAGTTTACAGATGCGCCATGTGAAATAATTCCTTCAATCGGATTTGAGAATTGGCAATGGGCGTATCAAAAAGAGAATTATATAGCTAATAAACGAATGCCTCTACAACATATAATAGTAGAGAAAACGCGTATTCTATTGTCTTTTAATTGCTTGATTGACTGAGAGCGACACCTGTAATGACCACTTTGTGACGGATGTCCTGTACTTTAGAATGTTTGTGTAATATTTGTTTTGGAGTAAACTGGTGAAGAGACGATCGGGAAATCAAATCCTGGCGAAATATGTTCTAAGGCGAACGAAGTGTTCGCGAAAATGTTTTAAACGTGAAAACCCTTCAAAAAAGTCTGTAGTTTACCAATTAACAAATAGGTTGTATATTTTACTTTTATATAATTACAGAGCAAAGATATGGATGCCAAACCGAAGGAGGACATTGTTTAAATATGTACCCTCCCCCAGCACCTGCAGGGGGCGCTGCTGCAGCTGAGCAAGGGGAAGTGGAAATGGAAGGTGGAGCACCAACTGCTCAACCTCAGGCAGCTCATGGCCGTGGTCATGGCCATGGGGCACCTAGAAAGCATGGAGCCGCTGCAGGCCGTGCTGGAGCTCCTCGGACCCCTCCCCCCGCCACTCCGGCACCGCCCCGAAGGATGGTAGCCAATCCTATGCAGTTTATCCGTCAGAACTGTATGAATTTCGAATTTGATTACATGAGCTGTGGCAGACAAGGCGGAGTATGCTGTTACCAGGCACCTTAATCATCTCATTTCATTCACCACAGGTGCGTTTTGAAATGTTGACCTTCCTTTTACCGCGGATAAAATTCTATAAAACTTCTATTTTCTGAAGTGAATTGCTCAGTTGATGTATTTTGTTTGGAAAACTGACTATATACTTGATCAATTCTAACTACAATTAATCTCTATATTTTTGTTTATCTCTACATCGATTGATACATAGTTATGAAGTATAACACAACAATATACCAGTTGAAGTGACATAAGAATTATAGTTTATATTTGTAGTTTCGATTTAAGTTCATGATTACGATACACTTTATGTTCCACAACTTCTCTGCTAAAGCTTCACCTTTAATAACTTAACCAATACTGATATATTTAAGTTCTGTGTTTCGTATTTTCAGTTTCATTCTAGCAGTTGACTGAATACTCATTCGGGACACTTCGGGACACCTCGGGACACCTCTACTGCGATCCTGCCAACATTGGTTTTATGTTGTAATATAAACCGGATGACACAAACTGTGCAAACACGTGACTGACTCCATGGTATCCATGGTATCGCCAAACATAATGGTGCAAACGATGTATGGGTGGCCTATTGTATTCTAAATATTATTGAGTGTGGAATAATTATCATGTTTATATTTAATGTAAAAGTTAAATATTCATTAAACTACGTTTTGTTTTTTCTTTTAGCTATGTAACATACGATTTGTTTGATTATACGCTAATTTAACACATACAAAAACATACAAATTTACTAGGACAAACATATACACACACATAACATACAAAAACATACACATTTACCAGGACAAACATATACACACATATAACATACAAAAACATACACATTTATCAGGACAAACATATACACATACATAAACATACAAAAACATACACATTTACCAGGACAAAAATATGAACACATATAAACATACAAAACATGCACATTTACCAGGACAAAGATATACACACACATAAACATACAAAAACAAACACATTTACCAGGACAAACATATATACACACATACACATACAAAAACATACACATTTACCAGGACAAACATATACACACACACAAACACGCATAAACCATTAATTCATCATATTTCCTACTTTTGCAATGGGCTCAATTCGAACCATTGAACCAAATATGCAGGTTACTATTAATACTTTTGTAATTTAAATCAAAATGCCAAAGGTTCGCTGGAGTAAACATGATGAAAAATGTATACAGATAAAGGACATGGCAAAAGTTACCGCCCCTCCACATACATATTTACTCCTACTCAAATTAAGTACTGATATGATGTAAATAAGGTTAACATCCAAAGGGCAAGGAATTTGCATGTAAACAGACAACCTTGAACAACCCTTTATTCTAAACAACTTTTAATTCTAAAAACAATAGTAACAACATTCAGACATACTACTGACAATGAATTATTCATGTACACATACTACATCAACAATTATATTCCATAATATTCAATTTAGTTAATTTATTAAATGATCACGGTGTGAAAACAATGAATAAATCAGTATCTGTACTTAATGTTATATCACCCATTATGACGTCAGAATATTGACCATATACATAAAGTCATGTCCTTAAATAATGGTACTGTGACATCATAAAAACAGATAATAGATATGAAACCAAACAGCAACATGATGCTTTGACCATAGTCAGTGAAAATGTATATACTTAAATTCTTAGTAATGAGACAAAATGGGATGTTAAAGTTGTTTCTACTTTCAGACAGTTCAAATTCATAATAACAAATTAGCTAATCTAAAACATATATTACACTCTACATAATATAGATTAAATTCATCATATAAAAGTTTGATTATCATCAAAAGAATATAAGCTAATTGAAAACATCTATTGCAGTCTACGTACCATTAATAAACTACAGTTCTTAAAAGTTAATTTTGAAATATCCGCAATGGTTTGACGGAGCACTTTGCGTCTGTAAACAATATACTCACCATATGTATCGATAAAAAAAAATTGGTGAGACGGGTTGGCATTGATTAAAAAATTATATCCTCACTGAATGGAACACAGAAGGTTCATGCGCTGCTTTTTGCTAATTGAAAAACCTAATATCTTACCCATAACTGAAGGAGTGAGTTTGGTTTGCTCTTTGTATCATAAAGTTAAAAATCCATGAACGCACAAAATCCTGCACCGAACTGAAATTTTCTGTTTATAATTCTGTTCCATTTCTTAAAAACCAAACCAAATACACAAACGAGTTACTAAGCATGGTTTCCTTTTTTTTACGTTTCTATGTGTTAATAAAAGCGAAGCAATACTAAAACGCACTGTGTATGTGTGCTTTGATTAATTTAATCTCATCATGTGTTAAAGTTGAAGAGTGCAATATAAAATCAATCAAAAATATCCTAACCATTGGAATGAGGAGCTAGGTTTTTTCATTATTGTTTGTTTTCATACCAGTTCATGAACATTTCTTCCATCATTTATGAAACAAATGCTACCAAATTCTCGCGAAATATTCCCATCTGCTTTACTACGAAGTAGCGTTAAATATCGATCTCAAAGTTATAAAACGTATACAAATTATTCTGAAAAGAAGATACATGACCTTCTTGTATAGAAATATATATAATAAGCTGAAAGTTTCTACACATAAGTAACATGTGCAGAGGATAAGTTTGTTTGTTATTGACGAAAGTTGCATACACAAAATGTGTAATCAGCGCCGGTAATATTTACTGGCCTTAACAAAGATCCACCACTGACATGGAAATATAGTACAGACACTATTTAACAGTATTATCGTTTATCAGACTATTTGAAAAATACAGTATCAACATAAAAAACTACGAATACAACAGTATTCTTCACGAAAACGATTAAAATAATAATATTATATTCTAACATTTCGCATTGAAATATGTATTCATATCATTTAGAATAATTTATATTAGTTCATCACGAATCAGTACTTGTTTACAACCGGGTTTCATTACAAATACCAAACCAAACTGATACATATTTATCATGAATGCCCTATAGTCATTCTAAGTGAATTATAGAAATGCCATATACTGCAAACAGAATTTCCTATTCAACTCATAAACAAGATACAGTTTCGGTAACGAGGAAATTGTGCGCTATGCCCTTCCAACAAATAAAGTTTTACAAGATTACAAATTACTGTCCCAATCAATGAAGTTATTTATTTTACAAGATTTAACAATACCGTTTCCAATCAATAAAGTTAATTTTCGTGAAGAATTTATGAAAGTAAATGTCTTCCATCTTAGTGTTAGTTCTATGGAGGGGAAGGGCACGAGAAAGATAATGATGACATGAGAATGCAGTATTGTTTTGCGAGAACGCAATAATATATAAATTGAAGCGTGACACAGGTATCAGCAGCATCACCTGTAACTGAGTATGAGACACGCTGTAGATTAATGCTCCAATTAAAAGTTTTTATTAAACAAAATAAAATGTTTTAATGGCGCGGAGAATCAATCTATTTCTATAAAGATGCTATGACTATGGGTGACTGATATAAGACCGGTCAACTCACATAACTGTATATGCTTTAAACGATAATTCTTATTAGATAAATATCATATCACAGTTGACTATATGTGTCATAAATATAATAATAGTAATTTGGATAAATAACAAATATTTGGAGGTAAATATATGAAAGGTGTGGAAGTTAGTGCTTAATAACGTATTCAAGAACATTATATAGGAGTGTCTGAACATAAGGTTATGTAGATTGATTCATATACAATTTGTTGTTGTTTTAGATGCCCTAGCGAAATATTACCTTTTCTTTACTTATCCAGGTCTATATCTCTATTATAATGAAGATCATTGTGATAAGTGTTATTGCAAAATTTAAAAATGTAGTGGAAAATCGCTTGAAAGGAAGAATGAACATAAACAGCCCACAGCACATATATGAAATTATGACGAAAACAATTCATATGAAATATTTGACTTTTTACCTTAAATTAATTGAATTTCATTGGCGGACTTTCTCATCACCGATTCGCCTATACATTTATGCTATGCAACTACTCAAGATCTCTTACATTCTTAATGATATTTCTTCATACATTTAATAAGGTATCTAACATATGTGAGATCTTAAGTATGCTATATTACAAATTTATATGATGTATTATTATTCATATACTTTATAAGTGAATCAAGCATACAATACATAAAATATATACTGATATTATGTATTTCATCTCCATAAGATATCATCTTTTATAATAATATGAAGATAGTGAAAACAATTGTGAAAGAACTGATCTTACTCAACTTTCCTCGAAAACAGATGAACATTTGAAGGAATTTCATAGTCAAAAAGTTCTATTAAAGCTCTCAAAACATATTTTGGGATTGAACACAAGACATTTAAGAATTCAACTTAGAGGCAATAAACAATTATAGGCATACAGCTATCACCTCAGTGTTGTTCTTCAACATAAAATACTATGATAACTTTTATCAACACACTTAAGTCTCAACCCCAAAAAACAACAACATCACCTAGATAAGTAAATGCACTTAACAACAGAAACATGCATTCAGGATAACACATGGAACAAACGGTAAATTTTTCATCACATGTGAATATTCTTGTTTAAAGGCCATTATCGAGGTGCACACCAACTAAAACTGCACGAAACCTACTTATTATATGTTTTTGAAGCGAACATGTTTTGTGAATATGACTTAGGAAGTAGATATCAAGCATCAAAAATCACTTGTTGGTAACTGCATTCATAAACATCGAAACGATGCATGTATTAGTCGTGGGAAGATATGGGTACTCTGTAACTGTCGTGTATTGATTACAACTTAGTATATATATAATAATGCTGAGAATATATGGCGTGTTGTGCATTGTTCACCTCAAATGATTACTAAATATATCTGGTAGGCTAGACTAAAATTGACGGTACACTTATAATTTGAAATACTTTATTCAAATAAAACAAGCTCTGAATATGTACGGTGGTAAACAAATATTAAATTCAAGACATTTTTTATTTTATGTTTAGCCAGATACCCATATCGTGCCCTAATTTACGAATTCATGAACAAATGAATAAAACAAATTACCAAAGCAAAAAATTTCAAAATAGTTTAGGTTAGAATAGGTGTCTGTTCGAAATATTATCGTGTCATTCGGAAGTTCGCAAAAGCTTGAAAATATTAATATTCACATGTGATATAACTTACCAATGGTGCCTTGTGAAAGCATGAATGCTATTAACTGTATTGACGCGCATCAACGTATCTCCGGGAACACGCACTCAAAATCAATGACAACGCTGAAAATATGAACGAAATCAATTAACATTTGAATTTCAAATGAATGTATATCTATGCAGTCATTGGCTAAGGTTTTTTTCTGTCTCGAACACAAAACTTATACCCTTTTGACACGTTTCTGTCTAGATGTGTCCTGAGGACTCGGGTCACAATTCAAAAACATCTTTACATAATACTGAACACTCATTTTGATGTCACACCCAGTAACAATGATCAGGTAGAAAACAAGTCTATTTTAAAGAAACATAAATACAGTACAGGCATGAAATAAATAAATAATTAAAACGTAAAACACAAAATGTTCAAGTTCGGCAAATAATCCAATTATTGTGTGATATATATTATGGAAACCACACCGACGTTTTCACTACAATATCATTCTTCTTCCTAAGTATCTAAATAGAGAATCTTTCCCACAAAAAAACGTCATATTTGTCATCATACCAGGGGAAACAATATTCTAGTTCCTAAATATCAACACGGAGTAGAACCAGATATTGAGAATATATGTAAATGCTATGTGTATATGTATGCACGTAACACCATTGGGTTCCCAAGCAATGTCATTTCGTTCCGAAGCAATGTCATTTCGTTCCGAAGCAATGTCATTTCGTTCCGAAGCAATTTCATACCGTTTCAAAACAATATCATTTCGATCCAAAACAATGTCATTTCGTTCCAAAACAATATCATTTTGTTCCAAAACAATATCATTTCGTTCCGAAGCAATATCATTTCGTTCCGAAGCATTATCATTTCGTTCCAAAACAATATCATTTCGTTCCGAAGCAATATCATTTCGTTCCAAAACAATATCATTTCGTTCCGAAGCAATGTCATTTCGTTTCAAAACAATATCATTTCGTTCGGAAGCAATATCATTTCGTTCCGAAGCAATGTCATTTCGTTCCCAGGCAATTTTATTTCGTTCCGAAGCAATATCATTTCGTTCCAAAACAATATCATTTCGTTCTAAAACAATATCATTTCGTTCCGAAGCAATTTCATACCGTTTCAAAACAATATCATTTCGATCAAAAACAATGTCATTTCGTTCCAAAACAATATCATTTTGTTCCAAAACAATATCATTTCGTTCCGAAGCAATATCATTTCGTTCCGAAGCATTATCATATCGTTCCAAAACAATATCATTTCGTTCCGAAGCAATATCATTTCGTTCCAAAACAATATCATTTCGTTCCAAAACAATATCATTTCGTGCCGAAGCAATGTCATTTCGTTCCGAAGCAATGTCATTTCGTTCCCAGGCAATTTTATTTCGTTCCGAAGCAATTTCATTTCGTTCCAAAGCAATATCATTTCGTTTCAAAACAATATCATTTCATTCCAAAACAATGTCATTTCGTTCCGAAGCAATGTAATTTCGTTCCCAGGCAATATCATTGCATTCCAAAGCCATATAAACCGTTTCCATAATATAAGAAAAATCCCCTTTCTTTTCCAAGCCACTGTTCAATAGGAATCTTTTGAAAGAAGCTGTTGGGATCAAGATATGTTGTGACTTGTTTTATGATATACGGTATCAAATTAATTCACGTCTTTTGGTGTCGACAAAGCCAAAGAGCCCATCAACTGTACTTTGACAGGCCTATTGTGATTTCTAACCACGATAAAATGAATTGCTCTCTTTCATGAAACATATATAAATCTCGTTAACAGGTGGGCGATATGTTATTTCTATGAACTAATGATTTTCTATCCAAGGAATATGTCTTAACTCTAAAGATTTCAAATATATTGCACATTTTAGCTCCTGCAGATTCCAATGAGTTCCGTTGACCTGTAGTTGAATTTGACGACTTTCCCCGTGTCATAGTTACAACATCTATAATTCATATATATATATATATATATATATATATATATATGTATGTTTAACTATGCTCTCAGGAACACTATTTATTTTGAAATTAATATTAAATAGTGCACAAGACTATTTCAACGTAAGGTCATAAAACAGAAAGTCAGAGATCTGTCCGACATAGATTACCAAACTATATTAATCCAGTGTCCATGAACAGCAACTTCAAGAAAGCATTCTCATTGACTAGTGGTGATCGGCATTACAATCAAAAATTAAATATAGGTTCATCGAACGAGAGTGGATTCCGTTTACTACATGACTCGCTCATGTATCTTCGTCGACCTTCCCGTGAGAATCCCCTGGCCTTCGGGTCGTAACACTTCGGGTCGGATATCATCCTCTGGAAAGTGCTCCTTCGGAACATCACACTTCTCATCCTGGTGCTAGACTCGTCGAAAATGATATCATTGTCAAACTCCATGAAGGCGTTATCTCCTTCTTCGTCCTCCTCTGACGTCTCCTCCGATCTCTCCTCCTCGTCTGACTCAGATGTCCGATATTCACTTACCGACTTTTCTACTGACGGTCTGGCTAAGAGAGTCGACGCTATTGCCGAAATAGCTTTCCAAGCAAATTCTATGTCGTTCTCGTTAGCGTTTTCGGCACAAAGAGCGAAGCGAATGACGTAGTTCTTGTTGATCAAGGCCGGTACCATGTGCAGCTGTCCCGATTCATTGATTAGTCTATTTAACTTCTTCGTAAGTGAGTTTGGTCCCTTGAAACACAAAACAAATTCATAGCATGATAATCATAATATAGCAGCAATTTACAATCCATACATACTATATTATTACATCATCATCACTCGTACGAGAGGAAAGGTGAGATAATGATTTTTAGCCAAATCGCGTTTTAAATTAAAAAAAGTCGATGATACCAAAAGCAAACTTGAAGATCCTTTTTATCCATTGAGTGAAAACTAAGGGAAAAGTGAAAATGAAAAAGTCATGAACCCCCGTTTAAAATGAAGTCAACAGAAACATATAACGCTTTACCTTTAGTCGGAAGCACACAAGTCCCATATTGACAGGAGCGGATACTTCAAATCTGGCGTCATTCTTCACGTATGTTTCAAACAATTGCGCTAGTTTGATGTGCTGAAAAAATATAATGAATTTATTATATTGTTTTCAAAAAGTGAATGTTAATGTTTCATGTATTTCGAGTGTACCTGACTATTCTGGCCCCATTCGCACTAACGTTCATTCACTGAATAGCAACGAAAGAGTAATTGGAGTTATGGAAAAATCTTAAACTTTTCATTACTTTAGCAATGCGTTTCTATAAAATGCCTTAGACTAGGAATTTTCTTTCAGTTAAGGAACGCTTATGAACTTGAGCCACGTTGATAAAACAATTACATTAATCTCAAATATTAATAATTTAAACTACTTATTTGGCAAACACAATATTATTTTATACACATGCTGTTTCAATAGATAAAGAAATATAGTCGAAACCATTCTATATGTAAAAAACTGTGTTAAATTACGCAAGATAAACTGAATAACAAAACTCATTTATCTTACAGAACCTACCTTCCTTATATAAGCCTGAAGACCAGTCACACCGTACGATCGGATCACAAACCAAAGCTTTAGAGCTCTAAACCGCCTACTTAACGGGATCCCCCAATGCTGAAAGATAAACAAATAGCTATAACAATCAACATTGCAATACTTTAACCTGATGTCTCAATTATGGAAGGAAAACAAAATATAACGAATTCCCCGTTATTGAAAAAAACTAAATAGCTATATCTATCTGCATAACAATATTTTGTGTTAAAAGATTTTACAATGATGTTAGGTAACCAAATGGCTATTCCAATCTCTTTTACAATATTTCAATCCGTTATAATATTTTAAAACGAAAGTAACCTTCCTATTCTGAGTTTGTTTTTAGAAATTGTCTTTGAAGGTTACTAAGATAATATATGTTTATGGTAAGAAACAAGTTTGTAGTATAGAGGTATTATACATACCCGGAGATCGATAGTTTGATCTGAAATTTGAAAAACACCATAATGATTTTAATCACTAAACAATAAAAGTGCAAATATTTGCAAACACACACACACACACACACACAAAACACACCAAACAAACAAACTATCTATAAACAGGTCACATTTAAGAGACTTAGTGAGTATATGTCTGGTTCCTCTTGCGAAAATAAACAAGAGGCCCAATGGGCTGCATCGCTCACCTGGAATAAATATCACACTTGTAACCTTAAAAGTGTTCTAAAATAAAGCTACAGGCAAATTAAGTCATTATGTTGAACAAATTTTATAGCCTTTCATCACAGGATGCAACTTGCAAAGTATCAACATCCTAGGACCCATGGTTATTCAGAAGAGGTCGTTTAAAGATTTTAAACAAATTTGACCCCTGTGACCTTGAATATAAGTCAAAGTCATTCACTTTAACAAACATAGTAGTCCTTGATCCCAGCATGCTACTGACTAAATATCAACATCCTGAGCCTTTTGGTTATTCAGAACAAGTTGTTTAAATATTTTGAGCATATTTGCTCCTTGTGACCTTGAATATGATTCGAGGTCATCCATTTAAACAAACTTGGTAGCCCTTGATCCTAGTATGCTACTGACTAAATATCATCACCCTGGGCATTTTGGTTATTCAGAAGAAGTTGTTTAATGTTTTTCACATATTTGACCCCTGTGACCTTGAATATAGGTGAAGGTTATTCATTTGAACAAACTTGATAGCCCTTTATCCCAGCATGCTACTGGCCAAATATCATCACCCTGTGCATGTTGGTTATTCAGAAGAAGTTGTTTAAATTTTTTAACATATTTGACCCCTGTGACCTTGAATATGGGTGAAGGTCATTCAGTTGAACAAACTTTGTAGCCCTTCATCTCAGCATGCTACTGGCCAAATATCATCACCCTGTGCGTTTCGGTTATTCAGAAGAAGTTGTTTAATGTTTTTCACAAATTTGACCCCTGTGACCTTGAATATTGGTGAAGGTCATTCATTTGAACAAACTTGATAGCCCTTTATCCCAGCATGCTACTGGCCAAATATCATCACCCTGGGCATTTTGGTTATTCAGAAGAAGTTGTTTAAAGTTATTCTAAGACAATTGACCCTTGTGACCTTGAATATAATTGAAGGTCATTCATTTGAACAAACTTGGTAGCCCGTCACCCAAGCATGCTACTGGCCAAATATCATCTCCCTGGGCAGTTTGGTTATCGAGAAGAAGATGTTTAAAGTGTTTAACATATTTGACCCCAGTGACCTTGAAAATGGGTGAAGGTCATTAATTTTAACAAACTTTGTAGTCCTTCATCCCAGTTTGCTTCTGGCCAAATATCATCACCCTAGGCCTTTTGGTTATTAAGAAGAAGTCGTTTAAAGTAAAATATTGAAGCCGGACGACGGACGGACGGACGGACGGACGGACGGACGGACGGACGCCGCGCCACGGCATAAGCTCACTTGGCACTTCGTGCCAGGTGAGCTAAAAATCGATTATGCGGCATAATTTTAGCAGATTATATAGCATGCAAATATGAATAATACCTCTATGTCTGTTTAAAAAATGCTATATTAATTACCATGAGACTTTATTACTGATAAAATAAATATGTCATGGCATTGTGACGCCGCATCGAAGAAAAAAAAATACAGGAAATTAAAAGGCCGCCTCAACGTCGTCAGTTTGATTTCAAGTATTTCAAATGTTTTTGTTTTGCAAGAAAAAACGACCCCGTATTCGTTTTCATTCGAACTATATAAAAAGAGCCTAGACGCTTTACCATTAGCTCTCGCTCACGAAAACATCTAGGGGCCAGACTTGTTCTAAAACGAAACATATTGATCATACCTTCATGTTTGTGTTGTAGATACAGAGGATCCACCGTCATTGATGACGTCAGCATCAGTCTATCCCTAACCCTGCAATGTTAAGTTGGCATGGATACAATGTAATACGGAAACATGAGGTCTGTAGTACAAAACTCGATAAAGAGGAGACAACTCTTATCGACTTCAGTTCTCCCCTTTTTTCAGCCAGAATACTTTGTTTGATCTAGTCTACATATAAAGGTTAATAAAACAAATGAGTTACTGAAGTTGCAATTTAAGTTGAAACGTAAAATTTTGATTTATGATCAATATATTATAGTATAATATAAAACTTCATAATAACATATGATACTGCATTATATAATATGACATAATTGCCGGTCATTCATTGACAAATATTTACCACAATAGAGAACAGTCAAAGTTCACCAGCATCCATTTATTTGGATTACAACTAAAAGATGTTAAATTCTGAAACAAACAAAAAGCGTCATAATAATTTATTTGTCATTTTCAGTCATTGGATTTAAAAACAAAAATATATATCACAAATTAAGAAATATTCAGTGCATAAACATATATGTTCATTAATACAGTTAAATCCCAATTTCATTATTAAAACTAGCACGTTAATTGTTTTATTGCTAACGACAAACAATATAACGATTATAATACTAATAACATAACAATATCCATTCAACGTATGCATGATCGACGCTGCTTTCCTTCGATTTAATATAAAAAACTGATCACATTAAAAACATCCATGAAAATAGTTATTTTGATAATAAACAAATCCCCAAATTGTAATTATTAGCATTATTATTATAGTGTTATATGCGGTTTGCGCACCTCTGCCCCTTTGATAAGATGCTGGAACTCTGGACAGATGAGGGCATTCCCTGCATACGCTGCATCCACGTGCAGCCAGATGTTCTCTCGGACACACACCTCCCCTAGCTCGGCTATATTGTCAAATGAACAGCACGCAGTGGTCCCTAGGGTGGCGCATACCTATAAGGAACAGACATGGCCTTGTTGTAAAACACACGTGACGCAATAATGATTTCGTCAATTATGAATACAAGATAAACAAATCTGTTATTTGTTTATAGTTATGAATGCAGACGAAAATAATAATTTTCGCGACATTCGATGACTATTCAGTCTATATAGTATTATCAATAGAGTGAGTTAAGAAGACTTACATAAAATGGAATGAATCCTAGTTTTTTATCCTCCTGTAAAATAAGACAAAATAATCAGCCATCATGTAAACAAGCTATATATTGTTTTGCGTTAATTGAAGTTTGCTTGAAGTGCTAATAAAATGAACATGGTGTTGTATTACCAGGGCCGCTTTCGTTTATCGCGATATAAAGCGGTCATTTATGAAATAAGATCTGACCTAGTAATGTGAAACTGCATGCTTTCAGACGAGTCTTAAAAGAACCTTGCAAGGCCTATATATACCCAAAAATGTTACTTTTGAAAAATGGCAATTCGGTTGTTTCGTATAAACGAACAGGCTCAAATCTTACTGAATGCGCTAGCATTCTCAAAATAGATTGTACATGATTAACACAATAAGTTTATGTTTGTTATACAAGGTGTAAAGATTCAAAATCAGCACCATTACTCGTGTCAATAAACATTATCAATATAATTTTTATGAGAAACTTTTTCACGCATTTTTTTTTTTGATGGGTTTACCGCAAACATGCTTAAAATTATGACAAATTCTACATTAGTATAAATATCGATGACAGAAAATATAAGCTATCCTCTTAATGATCACGACCACACACGACATTTGTCTATGTACATTATGTTTACTTTCTCTCTGGGATTGCTTTTAGAGACAGGTTTGATTGTGCCAGTGATTTGCTGTTTTCAAAATTTAACAATATAAGTATAGTGCAATGTTAAAATATTATAATGCAATTTACAGTGAAACTCGTCTAAATCTCAATATAATTTTAAAAGGCAGGATGGTATTTAAAAATGAGTATTACTGGCGACGTGGAGCGTATAAATGATATAGGAAAACAATAATAGACAGGTGGGTTACTGACTCACAGGGGTTACCTTACCTGTATTGCCGCCTCCAGAACATTGCCTCTCAATGACAAGTTATCGTCGACATCAAGTTGTCTAAGGTGTACAAACCCCAGCATCCCGGCCTTCTCCACACAGGAATGCGACTACAATGTACAGTTAGCATCGTGTGACGTTAAAAATTATTTCTTATACTAATTTAAGTTATCACAATGAAGACATGTTTCATGCCTGTGATAATAATTACTTTATATATTATGTGCTTGCACAGTTATAGTTTAAGCATTCAAGTTTCTTCCCTTCATATGGTAAACGGTCGTTGTGATAAATTTTTAACTATAGAGTTATCCCCCCTTATTGGTCTCGTCTTGGAATGGTGGAAAATCGCCGAAGCGAAAAGCCACACAAAAAGACGTTTGTCAAAGAAATATGGCTTTGTAGCACAAGTTTGATTTGTTGTAATGGTGTTTACGTCATATTTAACAGTTTGCAGTTGGTATGCATGTCGATGATGATCGATTGGCTCCGATAATGTTTTTTTGGACCGTTCTGTTTATGTTTGGAAATAATGGCGCTAAGCAGTACCATGCGTTTTATCAAATTATGCCTACCTACGTCCTCATTATTGAATTGATTTTAATTACTATGCGTTGCAAAGAGTCGTGCTTGTTCGGTTTATTTCATTCTGTCAGCTTTTTTATCGTCTCGCCTGCTCCCAAATACCTCGCATGAAGGTGAGGGAGGGAGGGAGGGGGGGGGGGGGGNAACAGTAGTTGCTTTGATCCGTGCACTCTCTTCTCCAATTCTTTTGAGCACGTCAGTTGGTATATTTGAGGCAATCACAAATCTACTGTTAAAAGTAGCAACAGCAGATTATCTATACCTATTCTAAAAAAGCACAGATGGTTCGTATTAATACATCAAATATTCAGAGATGTATACAATAAGACCTAGTAAGCCAGAGGTCTCGGGTTCGACTCCTAGCGGAGGCATTGAAAAGATAATGACCTCTGTTATATTGTATTTATATCGTAGATATGGAATTTGAATTAATACGAGGCTTTGTGGTGATAGCTATTAAACGACTTAAACAAATGAGTTTCATTTTTTATTTATTTTCAAAGTGCATTCAGATCAAAAGGTCACAATGGAAGGGGTTGTTTTCATATGTAACTTTTTAAAACTACTTAAGCGAAGCAACATTCCTTGAAAATTGATGCTGCTTACTTCAGTGAATATCCTCTTCACAAAGCTAATGATAAAGTACTGGTACAATACTTTGGTTTTGTTCTGTTTCAAGCCATATCATCATCTAATGTGATTAAAAGACGTATTTCCATGTTTGTAACGTAATCTTGCAAGTGTGTAGGTGTCCTTGAGGCTGGGTATGTGGAAGTACTTGCCTCCTTGTGATAGCCAATGCCGACATCATACTGTTACCTCGCTGAATGCCATCCAACACAGTAATCTACCAGGGGACATTATACTGTTACCTCGCTGAAAGCCATCCAACACAGTAATCTACCAGGGGACATTATATTGTTACCTCGCTGAAAGCCATCCAACACAGTAATCTACCTGGGGACATTATACTGTTACCTCGCTGAAAGCCATACAACACAGTAATCTACCCGGGGACATTATACTGTTACCTCACTGAAAGCCATCCAACACAGTTATCTGTTACCTCGCTGAAAGCCATCCAACACAGTAATCTACCAGGGGACATTATATTGTTACCTCGCTGAAAGCCATCAAACACAGTAATCTACCCGGGGACATTATATTGTTACCTCGCTGAAAGCCATCCAACACAGTAATCTACCCGGGGACATTATACTGTTACCTCGCTGAAAGCCATCCAACACAGTAATCTACCCGGGGACATTATACTGTTACCTCGCTGAAAGCCATCCAACACAGTAATCTACCCGGGGACATTATACTGTTACCTCGCTGAAAGCCATCCAACACAGTAATCTACCCGGGGACATTATACTGTTACCTCGCTGAAAGCCATCCAACACAGTAATCTACCCGGGGACATTATACTGTTACCTCGCTGAAAGCCATCCAACACAGTAATCTACCCGGGGACATTATACTGTTACCTCGCTGAAAGCCATCCAACACAGTAATCTACCCGGGGACATTATACTGTTACCTCGCTGAAAGCCATCCAACACAGTAATCTACCCGGGGACATTATACTGTTACCTCGCTGAAAGCCATCCAACACAGTAATCTACCCGGGGACATTATACTGTTACCTCGCTGAAAGCCATCCAACACAGTAATCTACCCGGGGACATTATACTGTTACCTCGCTGAAAGCCATCCAACACAGTAATCTACCCGGGGACGTTATACTGTTACCTCGCTGAAAGCCATCCAACACAGTAATCTACCCGGGGACATTATACTGTTACCTCGCTGAAAGCCATCCAATACAGTAATCTACCCGGGGACGTTATACTGATACCTTGCTGAAAGCCATCCAACACAGTTATCTACCCGGGGACATTATACTGTTACCTCGCTGAAAGCCATCCAACACAGTAATCTACCCGGGGGACGTTATACTGATACCTCACTGAAAGCCATCCAACACAGTAATCTACCCGGGGACATTATACTGTTACCTCGCTGAAAGCCATCCAACACAGTAATCTACCCGGGGACATTATACTGTTACCTCGCTGAAAGCCATCCAACACAGTAATCTACCCGGGGACATTATACTGTTACCTCGCTGAAAGCCATCCAACACAGTAATCTACCCGGGGACATTATACTGTTACCTCGCTGAAAGCCATCCAACACAGTAATCTACCCGGGGACATTATACTGTTACCTCGCTGAAAGCCATCCAACACAGTAATCTACCCGGGGACATTATACTGTTACCTCGCTGAAAGCCATCCAACACAGTAATCTACCCGGGGACATTATACTGTTACCTCGCTGAAAGCCATCCAACACAGTAATCTACCCGGGGACATTATACTGTTACCTCGCTGAAAGCCATCCAACACAGTAATCTACCCGGGGACATTATACTGTTACCTCGCTGAAAGCCATCCAACACAGTAATCTACCCGGGGACGTTATACTGTTACCTCGCTGAAAGCCATCCAACACAGTAATCTACCCGGGGACATTATACTGTTACCTCGCTGAAAGCCATCCAACACAGTAATCTTCCCGGGGACATTATACTGTTACCTCGCTGAAAGCCATCCAACACAGTAATTACTGTTACCTCACTGAAAGCCATCCAACACAGTAATCTACCCGGGGACATTATACTGTTACTTCGCTGAAAGCCATCCAACACAGTAATCTACCGGGGACGTTATACTGATAACGGATATGTGCTATAATTATAATATAGAATTTAAAATAATCATATCGAACTTTTCCTTTTTGCATCGAATAGCATTTAGAAATCTTGTTAAAGGTAAGCGTTTTTAACACACAACTTTTATGAAATATGACTTTTTTATATGCGTTTTGTATGTAGCTACCATACTTCTTTCACATTTTGTAAACGTGTTGAAAAGACACTTATTTAAGAAAGGTTTTATTGTCTACTACACGTATGAACAATAATACCTTGGTTGTGTGATATTTAGAAGTAAAGATCAAACTCGTAGTGTGATATGATTGGCGAAACATTCACAGTTTCAGGAAAGAGTCACATCTTCTAATTATATCTTAATTAGGAGCTCTCTTTTGGTCAGACAAATCGAATTGGATTTTTTTTTAAAGTTAACTGCAATTAAAACATAAAGGGAAATGGAAATAAGGAATATTGATAGTTGACAATGTACTAAAGTAAACCCAATTTCCAATGCACTTGTTATTTCTATCTTATTAAAATAATTGTTCAATTTTGATTGTTCACTACAAAACGTATATAAGAAAATAATGTATCGATAGAGTAACCTAGATATACGTACAAGTTTGGAGCAGTACGCCACCAGCTTGGGTAGATTGGTGGCGTTCCGGAACAGTGGAGACATGCTCTCTCTTTCCTGTAGAGCGTGGTGTCTGGCCGCGAGTAACGTCACTAAAATACACTCGCTGGCCGACCCCTGAAAATAACCAGTCGTTCGTAAAATAAACCGCATCACTGCCGCGTCACTGCCGAGTGTCTCGTTTCTCCCTAAAGGTATACACCAGTCCCGGATATCAAGAATATCATAACCCATCACCTGTATCATCTGTGAAATAAATTCAAGTCCCCACCCTCCCTTGGGATTTCATTTAGATCTTTATCTATTTTACGAGAATCACAAAAAGTCTATTGGCTACTTGTTGGTCTGATATAAAGGTGAATACTACAAACACATACAAAGGTAAATAAGAATATACTGGCGAAAATTATAGTTATTTATATACCCTGTGAAATGGGTAATAAGTATTGTTGATATTTTTTGACTTGCTAGGACAGTGCTAAAGTTTACTGGTAACAGTTGGCGGTGAACTATAGGGGCTGTAACGCGCATTCAAACTTGTTTACAGGAGTGCTGTGTTATGCTCGGTTGGTAAATTAAGTGTAGGTGAATGAGCGATGTAACGCTCACTTACACATTAGTCTTAAACTGAGTCTTTGAACGGATGCATGGACACCAGATTGGCACGTTACATCATAACGTTAATACACTTAATCCCTCCCTTACTGTACCAGATACCCTTCACATCCAGCGTCTCTGATAAGGATAGTATCAGAACCCAAGTGCACCTGCACTTGTTGATGAGGGTGTGATGGTGGTGTGAATAAAAAGATTGTAAATGATAACGCGAGAGAAATGCATGTGTTCAAAGGCATAAATCAGCAGGTCAGAATTCTATAAAAGTAACGTGTTTTTTTTAGTTCGGCTTGTAAAAGATATGAAGTATAAATTTAATACCCAGGTCGAAATTTTAAACTGCAAAATAGAGAAGCAAGATATGAGACCAATACGTTCAATATACAGATGAAACAATGTTGTTATAAAACAAGACTAATATACAATATTTAGAATGAAACATTTCTGATGAAGTTTAGTAAACACTCGATAACCAGTCTTCTTACCCAGACAAGCTAACACATCTAGTCTGAGTATTCCAGTTCATCCAGATAGCACTAATCTATTCATTCCACTGCATTGCCCAGTTCATCCAGCAAGCACTAATCTGATTATCCTATAACCCAACCTCGTTTATCTATCCACCTTTCATCTGATTATCCCACTTCACTGCCAAAATCATCCAACCGCCTCTAAATTGATAATCCCATTTCCCTGCCAAGTTCATTTAGCAACAACTTATCTGACTATCCCAATTCCCTACCCAGTACATCCAGCCACCACTAATCTCATTATCCCACTACCCTGCTCAATTCATCCAGCCACCACTAATTTGATTACCCTACTTCCCTGCCTAAACCATCCAGCCGGCTCTAAATTGAAAATTCCAATTTCCTGCCCAGTTCATTATCCTACTACCCTGCCTAAACCATCCAGCCGCCTGTGTATTGATAATCCCACTTCTCTGCCAAGTTTATTTAGCAACCACTTATCTGACTATCCCAATTCCCTACCCAGTACATCCAGCCAACGCTAATGTGATAATCCTACTTTCATTTATCGGAGTATCCTACTTCCCTGCTCAATTCATCCAGCCACCACTAATCTCATTATCCCACTACCCTGCTCAATTCATCCAGCCGCCACTAATTTGATTACCCTACTTCCCTGCCTAAACCATCCAGCCGGCTCTAAATTGATAATCCCACTTCTCTGCCAAGTTCATTTAGCAAACACTTATCTGACTATCCCAATTCCCTACCCAGTTCTTCCAGCCACCGCTAGTTCGAAAATCCTATTACCCAGCCTCGTTAATCCAGCAACCAGTTATCTGATTACCTCACTACCCAGCTCTGATAATCACTTATATGTATCAGATTTCTGCACGTTCCATTCTCATTAGTCCTGGTATTATTAATTTGATTATCTAAGTATTTAGACCCGTTATCAAGCCCTCACTAATCAGATAAACCCAGTTCCCAGGTTCGATAATTCCAGCCACCACATCTCTTTGCTTTGAGCGAAAGAGGTTAGATTATCATGGTAATAATTCGAAAATATAAAATGTGAAGCTGATTTAATTAAATGTCATTAACCTACCTGTATGTTCAATGTCATTAACCTACCTGTATAACACCTCCACCTTTACCTGACCCGTGGAGGAAAAATTTCGGTAGACCCATCATTTTGCCTGTTAAAGAAATAGCTTAATTCCAATTATTCATCAAACATACGGAACATTTTCACTTGTGTGTTAATTTCTTTTGTTTGAGGATTAGGTCGTCGCCATGTGTGGAAGCAATGTGTAGAATACAATGATAGGAGATGTGTGGTATTTGTAGAATATTTTGGCATTGATGTTAACCATATCCTGATTTATCCTCTCCATCAAGTAAACTACATTTAGTGTATTATAGGGTTTAGAAACAAGATGCATTCTCATTATCAAAGTACAGACGAAACATGCCAGACTGGTATTCACTATATCTCTATAATATATGTTCTTTCTATAACATTGAGGTGGGGTTAGCTACGATTCATGTTTGTTCTCATAAATTGTGGTTTAAACATTATATCTAAATTATAAATAGATGTTCTCAGTATCTTACATCTCAACCATCTTGGCCTCAAGCTACAATGACAATATAGTATTGATTTCAACATACATGTTGCACAAAGTGTCCGGTCCACAACAAATAGGATTACTTGAGTTTTTGACTTATATTAGGCCGTGAATTTAGTCAAAGATATTCTACCATTATTGAGGTCAAATGGTAAGCTGTGCTGGAATAGAAATGCTTCCACTTTCCCGATTTTATTGAAGATATAAATCTGACATCCTTTGGTTATTAAGTGTTATAGAAGTATCCTTTGAGATTAGACACGAAGCTGTTCAAGCGCTTTACAACAAATCAATCATAACCAATAACCATTTACCTTGAATTTATTCTATAAAATAAATATTTTCTCTTCGGTTTAATTATTGTACAGGCTTAAGTTGATGATCAATTTACCGAGACATTAACGCAAACTTTAAAATGCCATTATTCAAAATATTTAAAATTTATAAATATTTCTGATTTACCTGTTGTCAGGAGATCAACTTATATATACATACAATGCCATCTCTAATACTGGGTGAAAGTTATAATTTTTTGCTTAAATAGGACAATTGTGACGTAATATTCATTAAGTGTGAGGAGCCTTACCTAGCCAGTCCATCGTGATGGCTTCCAGCTCCGTACATGCAGGGCTTGAAGCCTGGAATTCGAACAAAACCAGTTATTATGAAAAACTTCTAATCAAACCATTCACGCGAATACAATTTTCCGAGACTTCAAACATGTTTAGAGAGGACTTTAGTTTAACGTAATACGTAATCATTATGCAAATGTGGTAGTACCACACACATATTTTTATCTTGAGTGATCAATATCGCGCACATGTTCGGCAGAATACATTCATTAAGAGTGTGTTTAGTGCATACGTTGGTGTGTAATTCCGCGCAATATAAACACGAGCTACCTGTGACATCAGATGATGACTTACGTTTAGTACTCCTATTATTGCTCTTTATGTATGTTATATTGCTGGCAAAATGTTATCCGTGTTAATCTGCAATTTGTTCAGAAATGAATGGCAGACAAAACGATGTCGAAAACCGGAAAAATGATAGCACGTCATCATACCGCTAAGATGTTCGGAGTTTGTTCTTTTTTGAATTCAGTATTTGGTCAATGGGTTTTTTCCAGTCTGAAAGGAGTTTTGCGAATGTGCTTTACAGAGCCTTGCACACCATTAATAAGAAGATATTTTAATTTCATAAATATGTATTATTGTGGGGATCACTTAAGGATATTGGATGTAAGTCCTTTTTCTTTTGGTATACGTATGCACTAAATATGCATTATGCATTTATCGATGCACTCATCGATTGCTTTGTAAAACAAATTGACTATACGTACAACTAGGTCTTCATTGTTTGTTTATGGCATAACGATAGCACCAACAAGCTTACCCATGAAAAGCCAATACACCCTATAGCATCTGACAACATATCCCCGAGGATGGACGGGTAGGAGTTACCGGACGGGAAATAAGCGTGGAAATGTGGATGCTGCCAGTGGGTTATCTGAAATAATTCATAAATAATAATAAGACAGTGCCTATTATATGTAAATAATAAGATAGTGTTTTAGTAAGATCAGTAAAATTAAGTACGTTCTAGTTGTGTATGTATTATACAAAGTATAGTATCAGATCAGTTAGTGACGTTGTACATGTGGCAAATAGTCATGTAATATGCAATGACGTCATATAACGAACTTTTACCGTGACATGGGCTATAATTACGTCGTAATTAAGTAGTGACATCGATTAATGCCGTGTTGACGTGTGATATTTGATGACGTCATACAGTGACGTTGTAAATTGACGTGATATATATTTATGTAGTTTATGATGATATCACATAGTGATACGTTATAATGTCACGTGATGTGTAGTTACGTAACCATTCCCATTTCTCTGTGATGCGGACCAGCAAGGATGAGTTGATATGACTGAAGATATATTTGTCGTTGACGTCTTTCCTGTTATTTGGGACAATCTACATTTTACATTGACCTTGTGTATGAACGCTGTAGTGTATTGTTTGTTTGGTTTTACACACAATATTTGCCACAACATCATCAACATTTGTGACCATCTGTCGATGTGTGTTAATGATGTGTGTTTTAGAGCTTTTGACATCAGGTTAGAGTAAATATTACGGCATTATTTAAACGTTTGAATGACATTAATTCTTGTGTGATGACACCATCAATATGTGTGGGTGACAACTGACTTTGCGTGTTGACGATTTGTGTGTAATCGTTTCTAGTTTTCCCCAGACATCAGACTGGAGTAAAAAAACACAGCGTTGTTTTCATTTATGAGTGGCATTTGTTTCTAGAGTTTAGGATAAATTGGGTGTGGTTGTTTTCTCCTTTTCTAGTTTCCATGCCTCAGACTGCAGTTAATACCCCTAAGCCGTCAACATGTTTTAATGACATCTGGCTTTGTGTGAACACGGCGAAGTGTGTACCTTTTCTGACATCAGACTGAAGTAATTGGCACAGCATCTTTTAAGTGTTTGAATGAAATCTGTTCTTTTGTGTGCGCTGAAGATTTACTTTTATTAGCTTATCAGATATACGGGTAGAGAGCTGACACAACATCAATAAGGATGTTTGTGTTACTATCATTTCATCTTGGTGACGTAAATCAGTGTTTTTAGCTTTAGTAATTTTGCTGATGTGCAAGTCTTATTCAGAGTCCAATATATTAAATACTTCATTATGGTATGGATATGTGTAAGTGGGAAGGCATGACTACCCCGATCAATGGTCGAACAGTTCTTGTATTATTTAATAACATTTCATCATTCCTTTTATTGCAAATGAATTTGTAAAGCTCCGTCCTGTCCTCTGGGCATTCTAAAGGACTGACTCGATATTAATTTCATTCATTACTGTTTTCTATTAATGAATATGGTAACATGAAACAAGACACGGGGTACTTAATCGTGTGACCATTGTGAGATGGATAACGATCATTTTCGCAGTAGTAAATTTCAGTCCAGAGATTGAGGATTTATGCTACCTTATTACAAAGTAAATCTTGAAGGAATTTTATTCTGTAATCTTATAAGTAGGATAAATTAAATTGAGGATATATGTTATTATGGCATCAATTTTTAAGACAACCACATTGTTAAATATATTTCATATTCGATGACTAGTGCATCATACTGAGGATATATTTTATCATGTTATCGACATAGCAATACGTATTATATCAGCGGTAAATTAGATCGGATATATTTATCTTATGAAATAAATCTTTAAAATATATCAATACTATATATTATATGTGTATTGAAGTAATTTGAAGACACATACAATGTTATATATATCATATTAGTGGTAATGTAATGTAAGATCTCCACACTGTTATTAATTAATATAAATGAGTGTTAAATCAATGGTAAAACATCCGGACTGTAATTAATTGATGTTTATTAATGGTTAAGATATGTACAAGGTTATACATGCTATAGCAGTGGTTTAATTGATGGTAAATGGATCCTAATTGGCACTGGTATAAATATGAGGGTTTATTGATGGTAAATTAATCGACTTTAGGATATTGATACGAGTGCTATTTGATTGGTAACACGGAGGTTATTCTAAATATAAAATGTTGTTAATTATATAATTAATGTCCTGTATGAAGCAGATTCCCTATTCCCCTTATTTCCCGATGAGAAGAGTGTGGTATAACTGATATAGAGTTCAACTGCAGCTCACCCCGGGCATGATGGTTCTCTCTACGTCCTTCATGATCTCGTCGAAGCCCTCGCTCATTTCCGGTGCTGTATCCGGAAGTAGTTGTTTTAGATATCCAGGTTCAACTTCCGGTATGACCCTGCGGTTGTGTATGTTCTCCATGTAATCAGCTATGTAATCTACCATCTCCTTCCCCTTTTTTCGGAATTCACACGAATCCATTTTTTTCAGGTTTCTAAAATCATTAAGAATTTCATATTAGTATCAATAATTAAAAGTGTTGCTTTTTATAACATCAATATTAGAGAAAACAAAAATCTTCTGGTGGGAAGTTCGCAAACATCAGTAATTGTACAGTCGTCAGCTATATAACACACGTATGTTTATTGCTTCGTATTAAAGTACAATATAGGAGCGATCATGATTTACTACCTTCCATATCAGAAATGAAATGTGAATAACTAATGAAAAAAGGGGAAAAAGGGACTGTGGATACAAAATCTTGATTTCACAACGCAAGCCTATCAGGTGCATTAAACAACGTTTTTATTAATACAAAGTAGTGTACACTCACAGCCGCTGGATGAATAAACTCTTACCGTCCCACCGAGCATGACACTGTATATATAACATATTCTATGATTCAAAGAAAAATTGCAAAAATTCTTTTTCGCTAGGACATAGGGTAGGTACATTATAGTTAATACAATGTAGTTACCTGCTACAGGGGAACACCACAATTATAACCCATACGAAGCATGAAATTTATGTTTGTATGAGAATGAAGATGTTATTACGTGCTTGTTTTTCCGATTTCTTCTTTTTCAAACAAGTTGTAAATTTAATAGTTCTATTGACAGACTTGTAAACGTAATACAGCCTCCAACCTATTTGCATGTATACAGTTCCCTCAATGGGTCACACAAAAAAGACCACAAAACAAAACCACGAAAACAAATATGGTTTTTCCAACAACATAGATAGTTTGCCAACAAAAATATCTGAACCTACCTACGACGTGACACGAAACACGAGTATTGTTTTCAAGACTTGATGCATATAGTTTATGGCTGAATTACAATATTACTTACACGTGTATTAATTCATCACTTGCTTGTCACTTCCGATAATTTATCCTCGACAAAGCGTAATATCGCCCTTGGTTAAATATTCCACGTTTACATATACACAGTATATTTTGAAAACATGCGTTTGTATTTGTTTACATTTTCCTTGTTTACGTTCACCCCGTTTTTTTAGACAAATGTAAAACACACAAACGACAGAACAGCTCGAATGGGAACAAATTGTAATTGATCTTGCATTTCCGAAACATTAAAGCTATACCTTTGCAATTAAAACAAAAACAAATATTTAATTGATTATTTTTTCTCAAGACCAACAAATTCCATTTTCCAGTGTGTTTAAACATGGTAGGATTAAATACTGAGACGTAAACCGTCATTAATAGTACCATTCACAGGTAGATACCTGATTACTACTACTACTCCGGAGTTATGAGTACCATTCACAGTTAGAAACCTAATTACTACTTCTACTCCGGAGTTATAAGTATCATTCACAGTTAGATACCTAATTACTACTTCTACTCCGGAGTTATGAGTACCATTCACAGTTAGATACCTGATTAATATTTCTACTCCGGAGTTATAAGTACCATTCACAGTTAGATATCTAATTACTACTTCTACTCCAGAGTTATGAGTACCATTCACAGTTAGATACCTAATTACTACTTCTACTCCGGAGTTATGAGTATCATTCACAGGTAGATACTAATTACTACTTCTACTCCGGAGTTATAAGTACCATTCACAGGTAAATACCTAATTACTATTTCTACTCCGGAGGTATGAGTATCATTCACAGGTAGATACCTAATTACTACTTCTACTTCGGAGTTATAAGTACCATTCACAGGTAGATACTAATTACTACTTCTACTCCGGAGTTATGAGTACCATTCACAGGTAAATACCTAATTACTATTTCTACTTCGGAGTTATGAGTACCATTCACAGGTAAATACCTAATTACTACTTCTACTTTGGAGTTATAAGTACCATTCACAGGTAGATACTAATTACTACTTCTACTCCGGAGTTATGAGTACCATTCACAGTTAGATACCTAATTACTATTTCTACTCCGGAGTTATGAGTACCATTCACAGGTAAATACCTAATTACTATTTCTACTTCGGAGTTATGAGTACCATTCACAGGTAAATACCTAATTACTACTTCTACTCCGGAGTTATGAGTATCATTCACAGGTAGATACCTAATAACTACTTCTACTCCGGAGTTATGAGTAACATTCACAGTTAGATACCTAATTACTATTTCTACTCCGGAGTTATAAGTACCATTCACAGTTAGATACCTAATTACTACTTCTACTCCGGAGTTATGAGTATCATTCACAGGTAGATACCTAATTACTATTTCTACTCCGGAGTAATGAGTACCATTCACAGTTAGATACCTAATTACTACTTCTACTCCGGAGTTATGTGTACCATTCACATGTAGATACCTAATGACTACTTCTACTCCGTAGTAATGAGATACTACTTTTACCGATACATAATAGCAACCTCTACTCCAGAGCTAGGATAAACCCTATACGTCTCTCCTAATGCTACGCTATTGATACAAAATATTTCCTTCAAACCTCAACTTATAAGATATCTGACAGCTATTTCTACTCCGGAGGAAGGGACTACCTGATAGATACTCCTAATCCGGAGGAATGTTATGATACCTTATAGCTATTTCTACTCCGGAGGAAGGGACTACCTGACAGATACTCCTATTCCGGAGTAGTGTTATGATACCTTATAGCTATTTCTACTCCGGAGGAAGGGCTACCTGATAGATACTCCTATTCCGTTGGAAAGTTATGATACCTTATAGCTATTTCTACTCCGGAGGAATGGCTACCTGATAGATACTCCTATTCCGTTGGAAAGTTATGATACCTTATAGCTATTTCTTCTTCGGAGGAAGGGCTACCTGATAGATACTCCTATTCCGGAGGAGTGTTGTGATACCTTATAGCTATTTCTACTCCGGAGGAAGGGACTACCTGATAGATACTCCTATTCCGGAGGAGTGTTATGATACCTTATAGCTATTTCTACTCCGGAGGAAGGGGCTACCTGATAGATACTCCTAATCCGGAGGAGTGTTATATGATACCTTATAGCCATTTCTACTCCGAAGGAAGGGACTACCTGATAGATACTCCTAATCCGGAGGAATGTTATGATACCTTATAGCTATTTCTACTCCGGAGGAAGGGCTACCTGATAGATACTCCTATTCCGGAGGAGTGTTATGATACCTTATAGCTATTTCTACTCCGGAGGAAGGGACTACCTGATAGATACTCCTAATCCGGAGGAATGTTATGATACCTTATAGCTATTTCTACTCCGGAGGAAGGGACTACCTGATAGATACTGCTATTCCGGAGGATTGTTATGATACCTTATAGCTATTTCTACTCCGGAGGAAGGGCTACCTGATAGATGCTCCTATTCCGGAGGAGTGTTATGATACCTTATAGCTATTTCTACTCCGGAGGAAGGGCTACCTGATAGATACTCCTATTCCGGAGGAGTGTTATGATACCTTATAGCTATTTCTACTCGGGAGGAAGGGACTACCTGATAGATACTGCTATTCCGGAGGAGTGTTATGATACCTTATAGCTATTTCTACTCCGGAGGAAGGGACTACCTGATAGATACTCTTCAAAGCTATTAATTAGTTATACATTAAAATGATTGAACCACACCAAAAGAATCATCATATACAACAAGTGTATCGCCATGGCTGACTCACTTAGTCATAAGACTGATTTGATATAATGTTATTATTGTATTTTTATTATTTATCACTTAACTATTAATTTATTTTAACTTTGTCCGTCATGCACGTTATTTAAAGGCAAATTATGAACGGTAGAGTAAGAGAAGATAGCTTTCACGTGAAATTCTCATCTTTTCTTTCATCTTCGTCCAAAGAACAATACATATCATATAATAATTTCCAGTTGGATACATTGTATATTCTTAGGAATATGCAAGAACACCGATATGTGTTTACGTTTGCAAGCAACAGGACAGTGGCGTATTTCAATAAATCATAAATAATAGTGAATAAATATATTTAGACATCTATGGTTCTCAATTTCAGTAAGATATATTTACTTGTGAACATGAATGAGAAGCACACACACGTCAATACACAACATCAAAATCCAATATCAAAGTTGATACCATAAAAAACATCAGAAAATGCGGAAACACCAAAACAAAACGAAAGACATCATAAACATTCTTCTCACTCAAAGTCTGAGGGAAATCCGGGTGTCGTATATCTATACCATATAGATGGCATCCGATTTATTATCTTTCTGCAAATTCGGGAAAACGTCACCAAACGATCTGAGACATACACGAACTTTAAGATGTCTTTAAGTATAACAGACATTGACCTCTTTAGAAGCAACCAGGCCATGATGGCAACAGTAGTTCTCCTTGCGTAGATTAAAGCTTTCCAGGTAGGAAACCCCGGGTATGTACACTGTTTACTTGTTAAGATGACAAAGTTTCCAGAGACTTCTGATACATCAAAAGAGTCCTGAATTGCTGAAGCGACTGCGTTATATTAATTTCAAAAACAAGTTCGGATAAATATTACGACTGAGAAAACTTAATGATCGTGAAATTAATGACGTCATATTTGTCACAGAGTTTCGTTATAATTTAACCATTAATGTCATGCTGCAAAACAACTTCTCCATTATACTAAGCTAGTGAAAGAGTTAAGTAGTAAATACTTACCCTTATACAGAACCTCTTTCTATATATACAAATATATTTCCAAGTGTAAAGCAGAGAAACACTTAACATAAGCCACACCTGTCTGTGAGTACAGAAGGTAACTTGTAAACGTCCCTATAAAGCCGTGTGGAGTGTTAAGTGTCGATGTTATGTTGTTATATATGCAGACACAGCCCGATCGTATAATTACGGTAAATGTGTGATCACCTTGACCCTCAAATATCCAATAAAATTTAACCGGAAGTGACAGCCACTAAACTACCGAACACACGCACGGATATAAGTAGTATCAGCTGTTAAAGGTGTAACAGGATTCGCCACTCACAGGAAGTTATCACTTTCCACAGTTAAAACACAGA